GCCGCCCCGGGAGGACCGGGAGCCGCCTCCACCCCCACCGGAGTGGATGTCTTCCTTGGGGACGGCCTTTTTCACCTCCACGCGATGGCCCTGGATTGGATGGAACTTGACCACCGCGGCCTTGTCTGCCGCGTCGTGATTCTGAAAATACACGAAGCCGAAACCACGCTTCTTGCCCGACTGCTTGTCGGCAATAATCTCCGCCTTCTCCACGGTGCCAAACTGCGAGAAGTGCTCGATCAGGTCGCCCTCGGCCACGTCTCCCTTAAGGCCTCCGACAAAGAGCTTCTTAACCTTGGCGTGGGCACCGGGCCGCGCCGAATCCTCCCGGGACACCGCCCGCTTCAGCTCCACCGTGTTGCCGTCCACGGCATGGGGCGAGGCGGCCATGGCGGCATCGGCTTCCTCCACATTGGAGTAGGTCACGAAGCCGAAGCAACGGGAGCGCTTGGTCTGGGGGTTCACCACCACCACGCAGTCCGTCAGAGTCCCAAAGGCCTCAAAGTGGCCGCGCAGGCCCGACTCACTTGTCTGCACATTGAGGCCTCCAATGAATAGCTTACACAACTGGGAATTCTCCATCTCCACAGGACGGGCCTTGCCCCCGCCCTGCGAGCTCCGAGGTTTCGCCGTCGCCGTTATGGTTATCTAAGGCCTCTTCACAGCTTGGGCCCAGCCGTTGCTGGAGCCGCCACCGCCGGTCACGACGGGGAAGGGAAAAAGGGAAGGGGAGGGAAGGAAGGAAAAAAGGAAGGGGAGGGAAGGGGAAAGGTGCTGGCTAGAGGCGAGCCGAGGAGACTGAAGACAGCCAAGGCCGCCGCTAGCGCTACAGCCGCCGCCACCTCCGCTCCCCTATCTGGGCACCACACAAAGAGGCCGCTGAACGCGCGCGCACCCTCCCCGAAGCGTGCGTCACCACCGACGTACGGCCGTTCAGGGCTGCCCGCCAATCCCCGCCTCGCTCTCCTTAGTCCCGCCTACTGCGCCGCAACGCTGCTCTCGATCACGGACTCCCCGCCCTCCGCCGTCTATTCGAGCCCTCATCCTGTGCTGTTCTCGCCTCCGCTTCTACCGTCCCACTTTCACTCCCAGGCTCCCCACTGTGCCCTGACAAGGGACCCTCCCTGCCCTCCGCGCACCTCCGCGACTCAAGTCTTCCAAGCACCGCGGCTGTTCTCAGTGGTTCTCCCCCTCCCCTTTCTCCCATCCCCTCAGCCAACTCCGCAGTGGCGTTCGCGCCAGCCCCTTGAGAGACATGTCAGTTCAGCCAATCACCACGATCCCTTCACACCCACTTCCGTTTTCAGCAGCTGCCGGACGGGCGCGCTCCTTGGTGCGCGCTTGCCCTGGCGCCCCCCGTGTGCGGAGCCTGCCTGCCACCCTTACGCCTTCTCCCGCCCAGGCCTTGACTGGGGGAGGTGTGCGCTGGTAGCCGTTCCCAACGGATGCGGCCTGCGGTGTCACGCGCGGGTTTTTTGAAAAAGACTGTTGGGGTTGGGGGCCTGGACCTACCCGCCGCATCTCGGCTAGCCATCTACACCTGGCGTCCCCTGGCCCCTCCTCCCGTCCGCGCAAAAATGGAGGCCAGAGGCCTGGTTTGGAAGGCGGTTATTAACCGTTTACAGTGGGCTCGACGTGAGATTAAACTAAAACTTTGACACGTGGCCCTGCGCAAAAGTGAGTCCGAGGCGGTGTGAAGACAATAGGGAGCCAAAAAAGCTTCAGACTTTACTATCTCAGAGGCTCGGGGTCCGCGCCACCCATGGAGCCCTCCCGCGACGCCCCCTCCTTTTGCACACTCCGGAAGACATTTTCATTTTACCTCGGTGAATGTGGTATATGTATAATGAACGTAATCTGTGTCCCCTCCTTTCAACTAAAACGTCAGCATTTTAAAAGTGTTTTATAGCAGACAAAGGGCGTTAAATAGATGAACATATATAATGATCATGCACCCCTGATAACTGTCTTGAGCACCCCTCCCTCAAGTGGGAATAGAAAAGTTATAATGGCCTTCATTTATTGAACCTTTGTGTGTCAAGCAAGACGTATGGGGTGGAACATAGTTAATATGCGGCATTACATGTCCAAAAGCTTCCCAAACCATGTGGTAAATACTGAAGAGAGTAAGAGGAATTCCTCTCTGCATCCTGGAATATTCAGGAAAGATAATGGGAAATAGGTAGAGTCAAAGGCTAGATAAGATTTCTCAAGAGAGTGTTTAGAGCAAAATCCAGAAGAAACAAGCTTTAAGGGGCAGGGAGTGGTCCACTTTGGGTGGAGCAGGAGGTCTGGGAAAGAAAGCAGTAAGAGGCTTGGCGCCTGTGGCTCAAGCGGCTAAGGCGCCAGCCACATACACCTAAGGTGGCGGGTTCGAATCCCCAGCCCAAACAACAATGATGGCTGCAACCAAAAAATGGCCGGGCGTTGTGGCGGGCGCCTGTAGTCCCAGCTACTTGGGAGGCTGAGGCAGGAGACTCGCTTGAGCCCAGGAGTTGAAGGTTGCTGTGAGCAGTGAAGCCATGGCACTCTACCCAGGGGGACAGCTTGAGACTCTGTCTCAAAAAAAAAAAAAAAAAAAAACAGTTAAGATATGTTGAGGGTCTTTGATACTTTGGACTATTTTAAATCTTAGATTAAGTAGTCTGAATATTATAACAGGCATGTAAATGGGATTAAGATTTGTTAACCAAAAGAATTAGTTCAGCCAGGCTCGGTGGCTCACACCTGTAATCCCAGCACTTTTACAGGTGAGGTGGGTGGATTGCCTGAGTTCACAGGTTTGAGACCAGCCTGAGCCAGAGCAAGACACGGCCCCCTCCAATCTCTAAAAATAGCTGGGTGTTGTGGTAGGCCCTGTAGTCCCAGCTACTTGGGAGGCTGAGGCAAGAGGATCAGTCTAGCCCAAGATTTTGAGGTTGCTGTGAGCTATGATGCTACTGTACTCTATCAAGGGTAACAAAGTGAGACTCTGTCTTGAAAAAAAAAAAAAATTAGTTACCCAGATTTATACTTTGGAAAAAGGAGAGCTTTTAGGGTGGTGCCTGTGGCTCAAAGGAGTAGGGCACCAGTCCCATATACCAGAGGTAGTGGGTTCAAACCCAGCCCTGGCCAAAAACTGCAAAGGAAAAGAAAATGGAGAGCTTTTATTGCTCATAAAGGGTAGCAACCTATTGGGTAGCCATTCCAACAAGTTGAGAAGCCAGCCACACATGTAGTTGGTTTGAGGGCAAATAAGAGTCTGGTCTACCATTTACTGTGCAACCATCCAGTTGTGTGACTTTGCACAATTTACCTTTTTTTTTTTTTAATTAACCAGTTTTATTAGCTTAAAATATTTCTGGTTTTGGTTTTGGGTTTTGTTTGTTTTTTTGAGACACAGTCTTTCTCTGTCACCCTGGGTAGAATGCTGTGGCATCATAGCTCACAGCAACCTCTAGCTCTTGGGCTCAAGACAGCTTCTTGTCTCAGCCTCCCACGTAGCTGGGACTACAGGCACCTATCACAATGCCTATCTAGTTTTTCTATTTTTAGCAGACATAGGGTCTCATTCTTGCTCAAGCTGGTCTCAAACTCCTGAGTTCGAGTCATCTGCCCACCTCAGCCTCCCAGGGTGCTAGGATTACATGTGTGAGCCACCACACCCAGCTTAAATTGAGAATTTGAAAACACCTTCCTGTTGTAAAAATTAAATGAAATTCTGCATTTAAAATTCCATCACAGTGCCTGGCACATAGTAGGTACTTAATTTATCTACCAGAAGCCTATGCTAGATGCTGGGAATATGGCAGTACACAGTGGAAAAAATCCTTGCCCTCATGAAGCTTACATTCTACTGTGGAGAAGCAGACAATAAACAAATAATAATGGTATATGGCATATTAGGTAGTGATAGGTGCCACTGAAAAAACTGAAAGAGGGAAGATGGTAGGAAGCTATTAACCTTATTACAAAAACATTCAAGTATGTCAGGATTTGCTAACTGGCTTATGATAAAGAAAGGGGGAAATAAAAACATTACAGTGTTTGAAACCTGGAAGCCTATAATTGCAACAATAGAACCAGAAAAATTCAAGAAAAAGAACTGTCTTGGAAGGGGGAACAGGAGATGATGAACATAACTGTAAATGTTTAAAGTGCTGGCTCAGTGCCTGTGGCTCAAGCGGCTAAGGTGCCAGCCACATACACCTAAGGTGGCGGGTTCGAATCCCCAGCCCTGGCCGCCAAACAACAATGATGGCTGCAGCCAAAAAATGTTTAAGGTGCTGATGGGATATTAAGCAGTGTTTTCTGGGATGCACAAGACTATGGCTTAAATTAGAGATTATAGTAATATATTGTGGATATAATCTAAATAAATGTTAAAACTGTAAAAGATAAAATCTTGAAGGAATAGAGAAGAGACTATAACTTATTTTTCTACCTAAATTGTAAATACTTAAGTAACACTTTTCTCCTAATTGTTTTGAAGTAATATTCCATACCACCTCAATGGGGATCCATTAGAAGTTTACTTCCTATTGATTAGGAACACTTCACAGAGGCAAATGTCTGGTATAGGCCTTACCTATAGAAGGGGTTAAGAATGATAGATAACACAAACATGTTTGAGAGATATTAAGAAGGCCAAGATAATCCTAATGCAATATGATTGGGATGTTAGAGTCTTTTTAGAGATTAGATTGGTAAAGGTAAGGATAGTTTATAAGGAGTGTTTTATATAAACACTAAAATGATGCATCTGATTTCCTACCTCTCAGCTCATTAAGGGGGAAAAAGAATTTTTTTCCCAATTTTACCTTTTAGATAATTCTCTGAGCTTGTTTAGTTTGTTTCTTCATTTTAACTTGCTTTGAGGTTTCTCAGCCTTCCTAAACAAAAAAATTTTAAAAGTAAATGAGATTGGCTCGGCGCCTGTGGCTCAATCGGCTAAGGCGCCAGCCACATACACCTAAGGTGGCGGGTTCGAATCCCCAGCCCAAACAACAATGATGGCTGCAACCAAAAAATGGCCGGGCGTTGTGGCGGGCGCCTGTAGTCCCAGCTACTTGGGAGGCAGAGGCAGGAGACTCGCTTGAGCCTAGGAGTTGGAGGTTGCTGTGAGCTGTGATGCCACGGCACTCTACCCAGGGGGATAGCTTGAGGCTCTGTCTCAAAAAAAAAAAAAAAAAAAGTAAATGAGATTTAGACCACCTTTGGTTTCCATCCCTCCTGCAAGCTTGATTACAAAAATCTAATTGAATGTGATGGTTACACAACTCATAGAACTCTACACTAAAAACAGTGTATTTTACTGTGTCTAAATTTTACATAGAAAGAGAAAGAACAAACTAAGGAAGAAAAGAAAAACTATAGCCAGCTACATTTCCAGAAAGCATCGACTCCTAACTTTTTTTTTAATCACATTTTCATTACATCCAACAGTTTGTTTTTGCAGTTAGGATTCTGTTATGGACTAAGCTGTGGCACCCCACCTTCCCTGAAACCTCCAATATCTCCAAATGTAACCATAGCTGAAAATAAGGTAATTAAGTTGCAATAAGGCCATTAGGATGGGGCCATAATTCACTATGAATAGTGTCCTCAGAAGATGAGAAAGAGACACCAGGGGCACAAGTGCACAGAAAGATGACCATGTGAAGAGGCATCAAGAGGGTGGCTATCTACAAGCCACAAGGAAGAGGCCTCAGAAGAACCCAACTCTGTCAGCACTTGATCTTTGGACCTCTTACCCCCAGAACTGTAAGAAAATAAATTTCTATTGTCTAAGCCACCCCTTCTGCAATATTTTGTTATGGTATCACTAGGAAATTAATATAGGTCCCATTTTTATTTATTCAAGGTGAACCTTCCAAAAGGGCACTCTTCGCTACTTATGGTGAAGTACAGTCTCTCTACTGGACTC